TCGAGTATCCGATGGAGAGTATAGAGCTGGTCCAGTGTTCCGCGGAACACAAAATAATAATCAAAGTCGGTTTAATAAAACATAGTCTAATTGCCTAGGATGTATCGTTTCTATTTGCATCTCTTTTGGGTGAACAATATGGTTTTTTAGGCAAAAATGTATAAGTGGTGTAACCCAAAAAAAATTGCAAAAAACTTACCCTTACTTAAAAATGGCTAACAGTCTGGCGTAATATTTCATTATTTATAATAATGATTGATGTAAACATATTCTTCCGTTTGGTTAGACTGGATTGTCTGAATCCGGGCATTTTTAAAGTCAAGCGTACTTCACCTAATGTCAAGGTGGTGGAACCGGTATTCAAGCGGCCATTTTGCTCACAATGCAAAATAAAATAAAAAGACAGTAAGTGACATCTGGCAGCAGGACCCCTGATGACACTACAGCAGCAGGTCCCCTGATGACACTACAGCAGCAGGACCCCTGATGACACTACAGCAGCAGGACCCCTGATGACACTACAGCAGCAGGACCCCTGATGACACTACAGCAGCAGGACCCCTGATGAGACTACAGCAGCAGGACCCCTGATGACACTACAGCAGCAGGACCCCTGATGACACTACAGGCAGCAGGACCCCTGATGACACTACAGGCAGCAGGACCCCTGATGACACTACAGGCAGCAGGACCCCTGATGACACTACAGCAGCAGGACCCCTGATGACACTACAGCAGCAGGACCCCTGATGACACTACAGTCGCATGTCAAGGCCAGTTTCTCTCTTCAAAATATGAAATCATGACATATTTCAGACATGAGGATGTATACAACCGTGTACATGTCAAATGGTATGACCCGAGTAAAACGTAAATAATTGATTTATAGTGTAGAAACAAATATAAGTAGAAAATATATGTTTAACAGATTACACAAAGACTGTGTTCATAGAGTAGTCCATGTTGATGAACTCCTCCACGAGGCAGTCCCAAATGGCTGTCACCACATCTGGGATGAGCATGGAGACAGTGGAAATGCCCACTTTGAAGCTCCCTGCTATGGTCCTGTAGGAGTCCCCAGTGGTAAAATATCGTTTGACAACCCCTCCTGGGGGCAACCACTCGGTGCCATTGGCCCCTCCCACCACCACCAACCAATTTCTCAGCATCCGTCAGTTTGTATAGGAGCAGTCATTGGAAACGTATTAAAAAGAGAAGTGAGTTGACGAAGATTGAAGTCTTTGTTGTGCCCATGCATTTCCCGCCTTCATTCTCGTTTCCCGTAGCAACATGTTTTGGTGTTCTGAAACGTTTAAACATAGCAAAAACAAAGTTAATCGTTCTATATTTTTGCTGTCACGGCGACCGCTTTGATATTCTCTCTCTGCGTCACTGGAGGTCAGGGCTCAAGCGTTCTCCTACAAACCCCGGCTGTAAAATTGCTCTATAATTAAAGTGACGGGCGTTCACACCACATTTGCACCTTTTCACTTCCACAAACAGCCCAGATGTTTAGCAGGGTTTGAAAGTTTTGCCTCATGATGGGTGCGTTTTTCTGACAGCGACAGCGTGGGCGCCATGGAAACCGCATTAAAAAGATTCCGGAGACGTGTGTGTGTGACGGTAAGTGGGCTCCTGCTGCGTGTGTTTGCGTTAAGTCTTTTGCTCGTTTAACCGGAAAAGTGGAAGAAATTGCATCGAAGACTCAGCGGAGAGAAAAGCACAGCACTGTCCATAGGAGAGGATTACTTCATACAACTTTATGCAACAACAATAATAACAACAACAACAAATCTAGAAATGGCCGGTGTGGATGCAGGTCTTCATTCCGACTCAGCAGGAGCATGCAACACTCCACCCATTTCCTCAGATCTCCAGGTTAAGACTGGATTCACTTATGGAAATGGACTGGATTGGTTTGGACTGGTTTGTCACCCCATCAAAAACACACAAGAGTCACACTGTCATCCAGCCAGCTTCAGCTCAAGCAGTATAGACATTGGATGAACCGAGGTGTGAAGATCAGGACTCTGGAATCCTGTAGATAGGTATACGAGTTTGCGTTTTTACCATTTATTTTTTATACGTTTTCTTCAACACATCACTGAAAGGACAGAAAAGATTTTAAAAAATGACCGGGCTAAACGTCGCCTTTCCTTATATAGAACGAGTTTGGTTTGCAGCTTTCATTTTGGAAATAAAGGTCCATTAAAGAGTTCTCACTTTATATCCACTCGGACTTTGAGTTGTCGATGCAGGTTGAAGGTCAGATATGACCCAGGACATTCATAGACAGTGGTCATTGTTATCATTCCATTTCCTGTGTTTGATCTCTTTGATTCTCTGATTTGTTTTGGCAAATCGACAACCGTAAAAAGTATTTTTCTATCTTCTGAATCAGAAAAAATGCAAGGGGACTGATGCACTCAAGGGTATACATACAGTATATAGAATAAACATGAGTGGACAGGGGCTCTTTGTGTGTTTGTAGATAAGTAAGTAAGTAATGTTTATTTATGTAACGCCGTCTCACAGACCCCCTACAGAGTAACACAAACAACAAGTTATAACTCTACAATTAATATAGTTGTATGTGTACATCCGTAGGGGGTCTGTGACATCCATCCATTTTCCTACCCTAATCCATTTCTGGGGTTGGGGGGTGGTGGTATCAGAGTTGCACCCAGTTCACAGAGCACCAGCCCCTCACTGATCCTCCGGCCAGCTTGTAAGTCCACAGGAGGATGGCTGCTCTGTCACTGCCGTGGCTTCAGGCAAAGTGTGGTTAAGTGTCTTGCCTCAAGGACAGAACACAACACAGCAGTCGGAGTTTATTGTGGTGGGCCCAAACCCACGACCTTCAGGCTCAAAGGCCAATGCTCCTACCAACTGAGCCACTGCTCCCTAAATAGATGTTTTGTTTGTCCAAGAAAGGAGGTTCTTTTAGACATAATTGGAGGGCTGTGGACTTTAAATTTAAAAGGCCACAATAGACTTTTATCCAATAGAGCAAACGAGGGGACGCAGTAAATCCACGGTGGATTCTGCAGTTAACAGCGCCGCAGTCGGAGAGAGAGCTCTTCCTTTCTGGGCATCAGCGTCTCGGCTCTTATCTGTCACTGTCGAATTTCTCAGAACTGCACTTTGAGATGCGAACGCTGTTGTTATACTTTTCAAGATGTTGGAATTTCATTTGAATCTGTTTCATCCTTTTTCCCCCCACATAAAATAAGATACTTGTCTGCAAAGCCTCCTCATTGGTGCACGTCTCGCTGAGGCTGAGAGATTGGTGCTGATTGCTCTGTCTTTGAGACCCACTTTTGGCGCCGTCTGATGTCGGGAGCCAAGAACACCTCGAGTTTTCTATGTCTCGCAAATTGTATTCTGCAGAAATATCTGATTTAAAAAAGCCCTACACTTTTTCAATAACAGTATTTAAACACATTCATACACTGGTTGATATACTATAATATATATTTAAAGAAGCTATACCCAATTTTTTTTTTACTGAGTCCATAAATGCTTATTACTACATACAAGTTTTATTATACTCCGTAATTGAAATTGAAAACTTGCGCTCATTGATTCAGCTGTGTATGAATTCAGGCCGTAAAAAAGTGCTGAGTAGAGACTTTAGCGTGACGCCCGCTCTTCCTCCAATCACGTCACCTCTAGCCTCGACGGCGCTGTTACATAAACTGTAGCATGTTAGCAGAATTGGCTGTAACTCCTCCGGCTGTAACTGCAGACACAGCAAAACAGCCCAAACGACACAACAGTGAGGAAGAGAAGATGGAACTAAAGCCAAAAAATGATCAGAGAGAGAAATTAAGCCCGGGTGAACATAGCTAGCATACATCGTATCCTCTGGAGAGACCTGCGGTGCGGACCGCCTCAGACTACATTTGGAGGCGGAGCTAGCGGTAATTCTTTCAGTTATATATTTTGTTAGCAGTGCGTTGCTTTTGTACCATTTCATCAGTGATTGTTGTACAGCTTAAAAGAAGTTGCACTCATGCTAATGTTAGCCTATGGATCGCAAATAAAACTAGATGGCTCTGTGGGAGTAGAGCGTAGGGGAAATGAGAAGCCTGTGAGTAGGCGTTGGGGGCGGAGCTAAACATTCAAACCTTGCGAGAAACAGGTATAGCTCCTTTAAACCTTGACCATGTCCAGAATTTTTCATAAATGTCCTGGATCATCATCACTGACCTTCAACCTGCACGACAACAACTCCAAATCCGAGTGGAGGAAAAGTGACGCATCAAATCACAAAAGACCATGTGATTATTTCCAAAGTGAACGTTGCAAACCCAAACTAGTTCTATGGGATTGAGTGGCACGGTGGAAGAGTGGTTAGCGTTGTCGATTCTTGACTGGAAGGAACTAAGGCAGCCATAACTCGCTGTGTGAAGGAGAGGTTTTGCAAGGTCCTTCCTCATTACTTACTGTACAGCTGTGCAACGAGAATGTGTCACAATAACTGCTGAGTCTGTACAAGTGTCACTGATAATTCACTAGTAACATAGTCCACTTGTGCCTGCTGTTATTATTACTGCATTCATCCAACATCTGATATTTCTGTCATTCACCATTCATTTTTTACCTGTTGAGTTTTATTACTGATGTCTATTCTGCTCATATTCTCCGCCGCTAAAGTACAATATACACATCTGTAAATACTTCTGAACAAATGCAATTATAGCTCCATAGCTCCAGAGTTCCATTTTATTATATTTTTACCTTACCATCTCAGTATCTTATTTTATTTTTAATGTCTATTATCCTTAAATAACGGACTCTTTTTGGCGGTGTGCAATCTGGAGTGCTCTTATGTCCCTTCTTTTTCTGCTGTTAATGTGCGCAACGATGACACTGACACTTCCCCACTGTGGGACGAATACAGGAATATCTTAACAGAACGTGCTCCAATTTATACTTTTTTTTTCCAAACTTTTTACAGCGCTCTGAATGAATAAATCCCCTGTTGCCCCTGTTCCATGATGATAGTCAACACTGCAGACGGAGATTCACGTTGGATTACGGTTTGTAGGATGTGTTTGTCGACGTGCCCTCGGTGTGGTTTCCCAAATACGTGTGATCTCTGTCAGTTTGAGTTATGACAGACTTTAACCTGAAACTTAAAACACAGCCCAAAGATTGTCTGCAATAGATTAGTATCAAACCTTTGCTTCCAGGCGGATGTTTTAAAACCATCACTGTGGACAAAATTCAATTACAGAACATATTTTCTTCTTGGAAATAAAAGCCATATTTCAAAACTGAGGAATATTGTGCTTTTGCCGACCCCTGTAGCTCCGGGTTATTTATTAATGGAATTTACAATCGCCGTATGGATTACAATGTAATAAAACAGACCAGTTCCCAGTCCCGGGCAGTGTCGGTCTGTCCTTTTACATGGTCGTACCAAAGCCACAACTGCTCTGCTCAATTACTAATATTATTATTTCCCTTTTGAGCATAAATGGCTGAAAAACACTGCCAAACCATCTGCTTATCACTACTATTGGAAAATACAAGCCTGGCTCACACGGCAGGAGGATAATGACGCTTCTGGCCTTGATTCTTCCCCTTCCGACAATCTTAAAGGACGCCTGATCATGATAGAATACGTTCTCATGAGGGGAATGGACCGTAGTGGCTTGGACATTTGGTCAGAGGTTTTGAGGACTAGGGTTAAGCTTAAAAGTATATAGAAGGATTTTCTACTTCCGGGAGGATCATCAAGACTATGGGTCCTCCCAGTTGTCAATCATTCTGGTGATACAGTTTGTCAAATAAGACCAGAGAGGTGCAGAGGGCGGTTCTTTCATAAAATTTGGGAAAATCCTCCTGTGTATGTTTAAGGTTAAATCAAATGACTGTTTATAAATAGTGTTTGGAATCTTTGCATTTTCTCTGTTTTTACGGTTTGATTCTCTGATCTGTGTTAGCGATAAAGAAACTCATCTAGCATCGGTAACTGCTTGTTCGCGCTCCAATGGCTCTATGTGTTGTTATCATTGCAAAAGGGGAAAAAACTGGAAGTCATATTCAGTTTCAAGAGACGCATATCCTGTGTTTGAACTGGTTGATTCTCTGATCTGGTTTGGCGAATCAATGATTTAGATACTACAAATATAAGAAAAGAAACGTCAAAACAACACAAGGTATGAAAATAATCACAGGACATTCAAAAGAGTAGAAGACACAATCCTTCATTTGTACAGACAGCTAAACAGAACGTGCTAATGCAGTGACCCCATGCACCCCCAACCTTTTTCACCCGGCTACTTTCCCAGAGCGAAAAAGACAGAGAGCTAACTTAAGACCTATAATTGGTGACAGCGAGCCTGATGAACTAATTCATTTTTTCATCATCACATATTCTTTACCTGTGAGTTATAATAAATAATAAAAATGCACAACACATATTGTATTTGATATTTTCCACTTCTAAATCCGTTGGCGGGCTACCTGGACTAGGGAAGTGGGAAGCTTCTGGTGGCTCTCATGCTACAGGTTAGAGACCCCTGTGCTAAAGTTTTATCAAATCTAAAGTTCGACTGATTGTAAACTTTCGAGTTGATTGGAATTTCATGAAACGTGGTATCCTTCACCTAAAGATCAGCCACAACTAGTTGTATCTTCCTCTTCCTCTCCCTCCCTCGGCAGCTTTGAGGCTCTCCACATACATTGTCTGACGTCTCCCACAAATTGTTTTAGATCGTGTAATTACTCAATCAAGCTCGGCACCGCCATAATTACAACTCGTCTCTCTAGCGAAACAGCTTCTCAGTAAATGCCTGTTTTTTATACTTCCCACGATCCGTGAACTTGTTCAGCAGAGAAAAATACTATGCATGTGTTTGTGATGTTGCTTGACCTTATACCTGATCTTGAGATGTTTTCGAATGAGAAGTTACTATATAGAAAACAATTATGAAGAACAAAATTCTCCAGAATGAGGACAAACGCTCCACCATCTTGTGGTGGAAGTTAGGAAATAATCTTAAACCCAAGCAAGAAGCACGTGTTGGCGGCTTTCAGGCCGCCAACGCATGAAACGCTGAAGCCCCGCTCACCAGACCCGTATTCTCTAGTGTTTCAGACGCAGAGGTCTTCACACCGAGATGTCCTGACCGCGGAGCCGGAAGTGCCGGAAGTAGCCGGCTGGCTATGCTGATAACAGAGCCTATGCTAGCGGCTTCTTGTGTGCAGAATCTTCTCCAATATGCAGCTTTGCAGCGTGTCTTTGCTCACAGACCTTCCACAGGCTTTATATAACAGTAGTATGTGTTCACGGAGGTGCGCCATAGTTTTTCAAATTATTCAACGGTAATTTCCGCATCGGCGAACACACTCGAAGCAGTCTTTGCATAAGGACACGGGAGCATGACAACGCATATTTTTACAAGCACAGAGTCCCCCATTGTCAACCCTGGATTGTGAGTTCTGGTGAAGCCTGGTGTGGGTCCACTTTTGACCCTTTGCGGCTCATCTGATTGGTTGTCGCATGAACGTCCTAAGGAATGGATGAGCTGAAGTCTATCTCCTTTTGGCGTTGATTTTTCGCTCTGCTCCTCCCCTTTGAATTTCCCGCCAAGGTCCGTGCGTCTCTACTGAACAATCCGTTTGTGCGTGCCGAGAGGCGGTGCGTGTTTGACTGCTCGAACGCGGCGTCACCAGAGACTTTGGCATTGAAAGCCGACGCTAAACGCCATGAATCTGGTTCCTGAAAGCCCCATTAAACTACAGAGGGCCATGCACAGATTCTCCTTTTTTATGGTGGTGGGTTTAAGAATCGTACCATGTGTGGACAACGTTGGGTTTAGCCGAGGATCAAGGCTGTTCATGGCTCACTATGGCTATTTTTATTATTTTATTCCCCATGGTCTTGTGAGTTATTAATGTTTAATGTTTTTTATTTACTTCGTGTGATTTCGTATTTTTTATTTTTTTTCGGGGAGGACGGTGGGGGGGAGTGGCGGGAGGGGGGGGTTGGGGGGGGGGGGAGGGTGGGTGAAGGTGGCGGGGGGGGGGAGGGGGGGTTGGGGGTGAGGGTGGGGGGAAGGGGGGCGGGGGTCGGGGGTGGGGGTGTGTTTAGGAGGGCTTTGGGGGGGGGGGGTCGGGGCGGGGGGAGGAGGGGGGGGGGTAGGGGGGGAGGGGGGGGGGGGGAGGGGGTGGGTGGGGGGGTGGGGTTGGGCGGGGGGGGGGAGGGGGTGGAGGGGGGGGCGGGGGGGGTGGGCGGCGTTGTGGGCTGGGGGGGGGGGGGGGGGGGGGAGGGGGTGGCTGGGGGGGGGCGGGTGGGGGAGGAGGCGCGGGGGGGTGAGTGGGGGGAGCGGCTGAGGAGGTGGGGGGGGGTGGTGGGCGGGGGTTGGGGGGGGGGGGGGGGGTGGGGGGGGGGGTGGGGGGCGGGGGGGGGGGGAGGGGATGGTGGGGAGGGGGGGAGGGTGCGGGGGGGGGGGGGGAGGGATTGGAGGTGGGGTGGGGGGGGGGAGCTAGGTGGGGGCCGGGTTGTGGGGAGGGGGGGCGGGCGGGATGCTGTGGGGATGGAGGATGGGGGGGGAGGGTGGGTTGTGTGGTGGAGGGATGGGGGGGGTTGGCGGGGAGGGGGGGGGGGGCGAGGGGGGGACGTGGTGGGGGCTGGGGTGGGGGACGGGGGTGGTGGGGGGAGTGGGTGGGGGGAGGGGGGGGGGGGGGGGAGGGGGCCTGTTGAGGCGGTGGGGTGTTTGGGGGGAAGCAGTGGAGGGGGGGGGTGGGGGGGTGGGGGGGGGGGCCGGGGGGGGGGTCGGGGGGGGTGGGGGGGGGGGGGTGGGTGTGAGTGGGGCGGGTGGGGGGACGGTGGTGCGGGGAGAGGGGGGGGGGGGAGGTGGGGTGGGGTTGGTGGGCGGGGGTTGGGGCGGGGGGGGGAGGGGGCGACGAGCGCGGAGGGGGGGGAGGTGGGGGGGGGGGGGGGGGGGGGGGTTGTGAGTGGGGGGGGTGAGTGGGGGGGGGAGGGATGGGGGGGTTGGGGGGGGTTGGGGGGCTGGGGTTGGGGACGGGGGGGGAGGTGGGGGGGGGGTGAACGGGGGGGAGGTTGGACGGGGGGTGGGGGTGGGGGGGGTTCGGGCGAGGGGGGGGGGGAAGGGGGGGAGTGGCCTGGGGGGGGGGTGGGGGTGGGGGGGTGGGGGGGGGGGGTGGTCTACGGGGGGGGGGGGGTAGGTTGGTGGGGGGCTAGGGCCGGGGTGGGTTGGGGGCTTGGTAGATGGAGGGGGTGAGGGGGAGTGGGTTGGTGGTGTGGAGGGGGGGCGGTGGAGGGGGGGTGGGGTGGGGGGGGGAGGGGGGGGGGGGGGGGAGAGGCGGTGGGGGGGGGGGGGGGGTGGGGGGGGGGGTTGGGGGGTGAGGGGGGTGTGGGGAGGGTGGGGGGGGGGGGGGGTGGGGTGGGGGGGGTGGGGGGAGGGGGGGGGGAGGGGAGAGGGTGGATGGTGGGGTGAGTGTGGGGGGGAGTAGGGTCAAGGGGTGGGGGGGGGGGTGGGGGGTGGGGTGTATGGGGGGGGGGAGGGGTTGGGGAGGCGAGGTGGGGGGGGGGGTGGGGTTGGGTTAGGCGGGGGGGCGTGTAGGGGGGGGGGCGGGCGGGGGGGGGGGGGGGGGATGGGGTAGTGGGGGGGTTGGAGGCGGGTGGGGAGGGAGTACGGGGGGGGTGGGGGGAGGGGGGAAGGTTGGGGGAGGGGGGGGGGAGGGGGGGGGAGGAGGGTGGGCGGGGGGGGGGACGGGTGGTGGGGAGGGGGGGGCGGTCGGGAGGTTGGGCCGGGAAGGAGGCGGGGGGGGCACAGGGGTGGGGTGGGGGGCTGCGGGGGTGGGCGTGGGAGGTTCGGGGGGGGGTGTGGGTGGTGGGGGGGGGGGGTGGGGGCGGTGGGGGTTGGGGTCTGTGGGTGGGGTGGGGTGGTTGGGTTGGGGTGGGGGGGAGGAGGCGGAGGGGGGGGGGGGGAGGGGGGGGGGGGGGGCGGTGGGGGGGGGGAGTGGCGGGCGGGGGGGTGGGGCGGGGGGGGGGTTCGGCGGGGGAGGGTATGGGTGGTGAGGTGGGGGGCGGGGGAGATGATGGGGGCCGGGCGGGGTGGGGGGGTGGGGATGGGGGGGCTGGGGGGGATGGGGGTGCGGGGTGGGGGGGGGGGGGGGGGGGGGGGGGGGGGGGGTGGGGGGGAGGGGGGGAGTGGGGTGGGTCGGGGCGGGGTGGTGGGGGGGTGGTGAGGGGGGGGTGGGTGGATGTGGGGGGGGGGGGGGTGTGGGTGGGTGGGGAGGGGGGGCGGGGGGGGGGTGGGGGGGGGGGGCGGAGGGGGTGTTGGGGGGGGTGGTGGGAGGCCGGGCTGTGGGTGTTTTTTTTCTTTCTTTGTTTTTCTTTTTGGTTTGTTGTTTTTTTTAGTTTGTGCTTTTTTCCGTTTTTTTTGGTTTTTTTGTTTTGTGTTTGCTTTGTGTTTTTTTTTTTCTGTGGATTGTGGTGTGTGTGGCTTTGTTTTTCTGTTTTTTTTATTTTTTTTTTGTTTGTTTTTTTATGTTTTTTCTTTTGTGTTTGTTTGGCTTGTCTTTTTTTTGTTGGTTTTTTTGATGTTTGTTTTTTTTTTTGAGGTTTGTGTTTCTTTTGGTTTTTGTTTTTGTTTTCTGTGCTTGTTTTTTTTGGTAGTTATTTTTTTGTTTTTTTTGGCCTCTTTTTATGTGTGGTGGATTTGCTTGTGTTTGTTGGTTTTTTGTGTTTGTGTGTGTGTTTTGCTTGTTGTCTATTTTTATTGTGTTTTGTTATTTTTTTTTGTTGCCGTTTTTTTGTCTTGTTTTTCCTTGTTTTTTTCTTTGTTTTTTGTTTTATTTTTTTTTTTGTTATTTTTTTTGTCTGTTGGTTTTTTTGCGTTGTTTTGTTTAGTTATTCTGGCATTGGTGGCTGGTTTGTTTGTTTATTTTTTCGTTTTGGTTGTTGTTTTTTTCTTTTTTCGTTTGTTTTGTTTTTGTTCTTTTTTATTTTTTGTCTTGCTTTCTTTTGCATTTGTGTGGTTTTGCTTTTTTATTTCCTTGTTTTTTATTTGTTTTTTTTTTTTTTTTGTTTTTTTTTTTTGCTTGTGTTTTTTTCTTTTTGTTGTTTTTTTTTTTTTTTTTTTGTTTGTTTTTGTTTTTGTTGTGGTTTCTTGTTTGGTTTTTTTTTTTTTTTCTGTTCTTATTGTCTTTTTGTTTTTCTGTGTTTTTTTTTTTTTGGTTTTGGTTTTGTTTTTTTTTGTTTCTTTTTTTAGTTTTTTTTTCTTTTCAGTCTTTTTTTTGTTTCTTTTTTTTTGTTTTTGTTTTGCGTTGTTTTGTTGCTGTTTTTTTTTTTTTGTTTTGGTTAGTTTTGTCTTTTTTTTTTGTTTTTTTTTTTTTTTTGTTTTATTTTGTTTTTTTTTTGTTTGTTGTTTGTTTTTGTTTTGCTTTTCTTGTTTTTTTTTGTTTTTTTTTTTTTCTGTTTTTATGTTTTTTATTTTTGTGCTGTTTTTGTTTTTTGGTGTTCTTGTTCTCTTGGTTCTTGTTTGGTTTTTTTTTTTTTTTTTTGTTTTTTGTTTTTTTCATTCTCTTTTTTTGGTTTTTTTCTAGGTTTTTTGTTTTTTGGTTTTGTTCTTTTTTGTTATGTTTGTTTTTTTTTGTTTTTTTTGTGTTTTACACTTTTCACAAACATGTTTTTTGTATGAGGCAGACAGACCGGCCCAAATATGGGCATCGGCCCTTCGGGCATTGCCCGGTACGCCCGATGGCCAGTCCAGCCCTGTCCCCGTGTCTGCGTAGGTTTCCTCCGGGTACTCCGGTTTCCCCTACCACTAAAAATATGTACAATAGGTCTGGCATGCGCCTCCTGTTCGGCGACCCCGCTCCCATCTCTGTGAAGTGAGAGGACAGATGCCCAAAAATATAACCATTGTAAACCGCTTTGTGACTCTGGTCTGTGAAAGGCGGTATATAAATAAACATTACTTACTTACTTACCAAACCACTCAATACAAATAGGGGGTCTAATTGCTATCGCTCGCAGCTAAAATCAATCCCTGGGAACAAAAAACGCAGTGACGGTGACTGACAGGCTGTGATGCCGCCTTTTAAAACTTTTTTTCTCAAAATAACACAAGCGGATTTGCCTGAGCTCTACGCAAACCCACAAAGCCTCAGTACTGGGGTTGTCAGCCGAAACAATGGGGGGATTAAAACTGAAGTGTATCACAATAATACTCACAAACGGAGCGTAAGAGTGTGCCCCGTGGTGCTTGTCAAGGCTCTATACGTTCAAGAGGCTCACCCCAAACAGCTTTCACATGTCATGCTAGCATCAAAACCACAGCTGCTGCCTCACAATTTGTTAAAAAGCATCAAGCCGGGGAGAAAAAGCCGAACATATCAAGTCTGAAGGCGAGATGACAGAGGAAATTTGGCATCTAACAGTGAGGAAAAATAAGAGATTAGGGGATTACAGCTCTCCGGATGTTACTGTGTCGGCAGAAAGGTAAGCCGTATAGAAATGAGAGCCTGATTGTTTGTCGTTGTTGCGTATTTTACAGATCGGATAGGATTTTGTGTGTCTGCCGCGGGGGTCGCACACATGCAGGAGGTGGTGAAGAGAAAGCAGAGTTCATATCGAGTTTGCAGATCAAACTTTGAAGGTTCGGCTAAGGATAGATATGAATGCAAATGTATTCATTCTTATGTGCAATACCATTAAATGTTCTTTTTGAAGAAGAAGAAGAAGAACAGAGGAGATTGAAGAGTACTTTAGGCTGTGGTGTCTGGAATGGCATCGTTTTGACATTGTAGAAATCAAATCAGGACGTCCTCCATTACTATAACAAGAGATAAGAAGTCACATATATTAAAGAAAGGCCCAGGTTTTAAAGATTTCACCCACAGGGAATAAAAAATAATTGTTAATTAAAGAGTAAAATAAGAACTAAATTCACCAGTTTGACCCGTATTTCAAGGTCAACTTGCCAAAACATATAATTTAGGAGTCGATAAAGAAACATGGAGCCAAGATTTCTGGCATTTCTTTGTATTTCTGTAAAGTTTGTTTTTAGCTCAACTTTATTGTGTCCATTGTTTTGCTTGAACCTTTTTGCATTTTGAAGATATTTTGAGCAAACTATTTTCACCATACAATATTCTGTTTTGGTTTTGCCTGGACTGACCCAAAACTGGCATTATTAGGTCCTCAGGCCACAGTTTTCCCAGCTGTAGTTTAAACAGAAACAGACGTGCCAGAAGTTCCTCATTGTTCAGTAGATCGAATGGAGCTATTTACATGTCCAGAGATGTTTTTGGGAGAGAGAACAAAGTTATAATAATAATAATAAACTCAGACAATAATACATCTGCTTTGATACATTTTCAGTCATTCTGTGTGTGCCAGTTGTGTTTGTGTTTGTGTCTGTGGTCCCTCTCCCTCCGTTCTCGTCTGAATCTGCGTCAGTCTTTCTGAATAAACCCCGCACTCTTCTCCGTGAGCTTTTTGCCCAAACCCAATTTCACATTGTTTACCGTCGCATCAGTGCCACTCGCCATCAAACACAACGGCCTCAGCTCTGAAGGCGCCGCTGCTCGGTCCAGCTGCTCCACAATAAGGTCCAATACTGAGGATCACGCCATCAATATGGAGGGTTTTCAAATACACCCTCGGCATAAAATGGAAAATAATACACTGCAACAAGTTAAAAATATACTTATAGGCAGAGTAAGTTCAAACAAAAAAATGCGTTGGGCTAGAAACAGGAAGAATTGAAAGAAGAAATATCATTCAAAAATCACTAATCCCAGCTTCCTGGTCTGGCACTGAAAGATGATTTTAGAGACTCTTGAAGGTGTTCTAAAAACAACTTTTTGTCATAAATCTGTGATACAATCTGCAGTGTTGTGACTGCATTTTTTAATAAACAAATCACTTGTTTACTGGATCATTGTGCACGTTTTTTCTGAACTTTTCATAACTTTTTAAAGCTAAAATTATACTTTATTTTCCCCGTAGAGAAACGTGTCCTCTGCATTTGACACTGATACCACTTGGGCCTCTGTCAGGAGCAGTGTGAGATCACCCAAAATCATGGTGACCTGTCCTTGTTGAGTGGGACATTTTGGAGCTACTTTTAGGCCCCTCCACAAAGTTGCAGTGAGCAGTCTTACCTATTGTGCATGTTTATAGTGGTAGACACAGGGAGAACATTCAAACTCAACTCAGAAATATCCTTCTTACCGGTATTCAAACCACGACAAATACTGGTGATTTCTACAGTATTTAATTCAATTCAATTCCCTACCTTTTTTGTCTAGCCCTAAGCCACAACAGTAGTTTTCTGGGGGGAGTTAACAAAGCTGTTGAATTGCCCACACAGATCAGAGAATCAAACAGTTCAAACACAAAGAGCCATTGGTCCAAAAGGGGCGACCAATGTCCATGAATGCTAACAGGTGTCGTTGAATGTCAAATGTTGTGGATCATCATCACCACTGTCCTTAGACCCTGCTGCATCGGCAAAGGAACAACTCTAAAAACCCAGTGTGAGAAACCCAGTGGAGGCTCATGGACAGACTGACTTTAGATCCAGGACTCAGACCATACCCTGTGGGCGACGGTACCTTTGAGACACGGGTGAGGAACCAGGGGAGATCAAAAAGAGAATATAAAAGAAAATAAATGCATCGCCCTGAAAAAAAATACGTTGTGTCTGTAACTACAAAGCAAAAGAGTTTTTTTTGCATGTTTTGTCCCAATTTAGAGAAAAAAACTTCTCCTTTTGTGATCCCGACTTCAGTTAGCTCACATTTCCAGCCCATTAGCCGCCTCACAAGTCGTTGCTTTTACACAAACTCCCATCTCGTGTTGAGGCCAGTTCTCAGCATATGTTTCATGTTTCCGATGGGACCCATTACCACCGTATATATATTCTTTGGATGCCGCGACGGCTAGAGCTAATCCGGCGCCAAAGAAAATAAATGTGCGACAAAACGCTGTGATTTTTTGTCCCCTTCCTTCTTCTTTGAGCCTCCTGCGAGCGCCTCGAGGCTCTTCTATCCATCGGCGCATCACAAGCCGCTATTTTAATCAATAAGCATTAAAGTTTACAAAGACACGCCGTCCCATGTGGCGCAGGAGCATCTTTGCTTATTGCCTTTTTACATGTAAACATATCTGAAGCTGTCACACGCACTTTAAAGATGTGAGCGCGTGTTTGGTCTTTTTATAGGAGCGAGGAGCAGATGGGAATGAGGCAGGGGACTCGAGGAGACAATAGAGGAGAGGGTTTGATATGAAAGGACTGCTAAAAGCAGTCATAGACTGTATGTATTAACAGACGTAGTCACGCCTATCTCCGCCGTTCTAACTAATGGGCCAAAAATTGGGCTCTCATGGAGTGATTCAAAATGGCAGCAGGGGCAGGAAAATGTGAAAAAACGCATCTGCGCATGCGTCAGCCGGAACGAGCCTCATTCATTTAAACGAGTGACTTCAAAAATTCACAGCGACTAAACTAGACCGGTCCAAAAAAATGCACTCCCCTCAGCATTGACACACATGTGGAACGGAGCTTTGGATCAAGAGTTAACTTTTGTACCTTCCTGTAAAGGTGTTTTCGAGAGGTAAGAAGATGCTATGTGTTAGCATTGGCTAATTCTTATTCTGGGTCCACCCCCATTGGGGGTAGTATTGCAAGCATGTCAGCGCACGTCATTTTGGCCACTTTTGATCCGGAACCCGCCCCCACTGGCTGGAGTCTGCATGTACAGCTGCGGTTGTAGCGTCGGCCCATTAGTTGTACTTTTGAAATCTGAGCCGTAGGTTGGAGCTCCTTGGCGTAACGGAAGAGACTGAATACGTAAATATGAACAAATGTTGTATACCACATCCCTACAGATCAATATTGAGATCTTGAATGTGCTTAATATTGGGTACGGATATGATTTCGGTAACAATTTAGGTTACAGATATCCATATTGGAAATTAGAGCGACTGGGGAAAAAAAACAAATAACATGTATTTGTAGTAACTAAGAATTTCATACGTATATTTTGCATTCAGTATAACATGAATGAACACGTACACAAGTATACTTTAAAAAATAGCGTTTTAAAAAGGGTTGAACGAAGAAAACACAAACACACAAAGATTATAAACATGATATTATGAGCTATTGTACAATGCCGAAAGCCTCTACACAAAATCGTAATATACTCTAATGTAATTTAATATAATATTGTTACATAATTGTTACTTCCTGACTTTATATGCAATAATGAACGGCGGCTGTCAAGGATTATTCAATTCTATTACATTTATTTGTGTGTAGCCTTCAATCACAACAGCAGCCAACAGAGGCCAACACAGGAAATACAATAATAAAAAAACACATAGGAGCCACTGTCCTTCTATATGTCCTTAAATCATCGGTCGATAACAGGAAGAAAATTGTTATGTCTTCTTTAACATTTCATCCGAACGATAAGTGCACTCGTCAGACGCACCACATCTGTGAGTGGAGCTGAAGTGACCTGAAGATGCAGATCTGAGGCCTGGGCTTCTACAGGACGCCATCAGAGGAAGCAGGGTATGAGCACTTCTCCACAGCACTTTGCTCCATCAGAATCAAAGGGAGTTTAAGACCCTGCAGACAGGAGCTTTCATCTCCACGACGACCAGAGAGAGAAACCGACACATGCTGGAGATTCTGCCATCACGCTCACCTGAAGGCACTCTTTTCATGTTTGAGGAGGATCTACACACCAGAAAAGTGAAAGGAGCCGTCTGTTTTACACGTGTGGAGCACAGGGACGGGTCTTAGTGTCCAGTCTCAATCTATGGAGTTAAACATGTGTGAACCAGGTGGAAAAGCTATAATTTCCTGGTGTCTCTTTGTATGTATCTGTGACATGTTAGTGCCATATGAACCAACCGGGACTGTGAAGGGAGCACAGGGACTGGTCTCCTGCTGGGAATCTGAGGAGCAAAGGGACTGGTCTCCTGCTGGGACTCTGAGGAGCACAGGGACTGGTCTCCTGCTGGGACTCTGAGGAGCACAGGGACTAGCCTCCTGCCAGTGCCCAGAGTCAGGACTAAACATGGGGAGGCAGCATTTCAGATGAATTCAGCTATAATCTGGAAAAGTCTTCCTAGAAATGTGAGACAGGCTTCTTCTCTGACAATGTTCAAATCCAGGTTGAAAATATCTCTGTTTATCCGTGCATACAACTGAAGGATTTAATTCATAGCCTGTCCATTCGTCGGAGCAAATCCGTCTCTCAATGTGGGTCTCCCTGAAGTTTATCACTTTTTCCCCTCTGGGTTTTTTCTGAGTTGTTCCTTGCTGATGCAGGAGGGTCTAAATACAGTGATAATCCGGGACTTTTACCAACATTTATGGACATTTATCATCCCGCTCCCTATGAACCAATGTCTCCTGTGTGTTTGTTATTATTGCATTGCCTGTGTTCGAACTGTTTGATTCTCTAACCAGTCGTTGATGAATCGACAACTTTGTAAAGTCCTCCGAGACGACAAAAAAAAGGCTATACACACAAACAAATTGCATTGAATTCTCAGAACCCTAGTCTTACTACGAAACACATCTTTTACCATGAATAATTGAATACCACTGAGCACATAAGTCAAAGAACTATAGGACATACTTTTAGCACAACTTGACTGAACACGCCACTGTAGTTCACCAGACTATAGTCCAGGGGCCGACGTCACAGGCGAAAATACTGTCTTGACTGGCATCATGCTGTTCTGAGCTTTATTATGATCCATAAATGAGCTGAAGTTGGCTGAATGACAAATGTTTACCATCTCACCAGCTCCAGTAGCACCATTAACGGAGGTTTGAGACAATCAAAGAGCATTTCAGTAAAGTTTGTACAAATAAAGTCAACGACTGAAATCCAGACGTACTGGGCTTTAGAACGAGTTACGACACATCTACAGTATATTGGCTGAGCTGAAGTTGGATGGATGACACAATGAACTAGTGTTTACGATCTCAGAGACTATTAAGGGTTAGCAAGGCAGAGGGCCACATAAAATGACACAGAGGGCCGCAGTTGACCCCTGGGCCTGAGTTTGGACATGCCTGGCCTCTATAGACATTTATTGATTACTGATTGATAAAGGCTGTCTTACAATCTTCCACCAGATTTCCATTTTTTAAACATAAAATAGCAATGCCTCTGCCTCACATGACCAGTCACTTAAAGATATATTCACTAAGAAAACATAAACAGAACTACACCATTTGAGAAGAGGTTGGAAGAAGCAGAAGCTGTACATTTTTCGAGTCTGGGTAAGTGCTATTATTTATCTGTGCCGTCTCCAAACACTCGCGGCCGTAGAGTAATTTGCAGGGAAGTGGATGACACCGAGACACAAGCGCTGCTGCCGCACTGCTCCAATCTCCCGCCTCAAACACCATCATTACCCAGGCGGACTGTGGAAGGGACTAAAGCAGAAATAACACCTATGCAGAGGCGGCGAGGAGACACCAGAGAAACCGAGAGTGCCGTGTCTAAAGGGCCCTCCAAGAAAATGTGCTGTTGTTGTTTGTCTTTCAGAGGAAATCAAAAGAGTGGCATAAACTGTGGCAAAGAGGGCGGAGGATGTAGAAATGTAGGTGGCTTTCTGTTGAGGACATTTGAGCAGATTCGTACATGTACTCGACACCAGTGCTTCTTCAGCTGTGTTGTCTTGTCTACTCTGTGGGCTGTAGAGCAGGCAGGTTCAAACCGAGGCCCACGAGCCAATCTGGGGCCTCTGTGTCATGTTCTGCGGCCCTCTGTTTGGGAGGGCTGCAGAAGTAGACATTGAGCTCATAAACACAAGTTCCCAGACTCATCCAGCCAGCTTCAGCTCCACCATTGAATACAAATGAACTAACTAAACAAAAGACAAAAGTTCTACACAGGAGAAGGCAGTAAAAACGGTAAAACAAGCAAAACAGCGGACAAAGTACCCAGTCTGACCTTTGACTTAGACAGACTTTATTTATCCACAAGGGAAATTGCGTAATCACAGTAGCTCGCATAGTGTTTCACAATAAAAAATAAAAATAACATGAAAGTAATCATCTGAAAATAATAATAATAAGATAAGATAATATTGTGAGAAAAAAAACTCAACATCTGTTAATATACAATTTATACAAGGACAAGGCAGATAAACTTGAAGTGTGTTTAGATGAATGTGTTTTCTGTCACAGAGCGATGACAGATAATGGTACGGATCTCACTATAAAACAATAACTATATACTGACATTTGTGTTTGATTGTGTCACAACATTACTTTCTCACTTCAGCCTGAGCATGAGACAAGCTCCTCCTCTGATATATCTGCAAATAGTATTAAAACTAAACTGTTTATCTGTTCATACAATGGATCATTTAAGTTCTACTTTCACAATGACTTATATAAAATATAGGTTGAGCGATTAATTCTAATTTTAAAGCTTCCTCTCTTGTTTTGTAATCTGCTTTAAGGGACTCTATGTATAGGAATTGTGCTATAAGCTTGCAAATAAACTTTAGAACAATATCCAAAAGCCTTTGCGATTACATAAAAGTGTCTATGAATACTTCTGTTATCATTTCTATCGCTTTTTCTCCCGTTTACAGGCAGAGCTAATTATTACTGCATTTGTTTCCATATTTTTTTGTCTCCTGTGCTGCACTTTTAAAACGTCTTGTCGTTTCAAAGCGCTAAGTAGTGGATTGAAAGACGCCCGCCCTCTCCAGACTTCCAGACGTAAGGTTCAGCAGAGAGATGAGAGGATTCTTTGAGTTTTGCACTTGTTTACCTGCGTCCGTCGTTCTCCGAATCAAAGGCAGAGTGAACAGAATGAGGCTGCAGAGATGAACATTACTCTTAATTGGCCTAATGCAAATATGACCTACTTCTTCTTTCTTCTGGTTGTTTTACTTTCAAATTAAATTGTTCTGTTTGGTGGATCTCGCTGTACAGGTGCTGTGTGTGCCTCACGATGTAATGTGCATTTCTCTTCAGCGTTTCAATCAATCTTTAAATGGTAGAGCGCCTCTGAGCATGTATTGAGTAAATGTGTTATTTTGATTTGTCTGTATAATGTATATGAAAGGGTACAGGCCTCGATGAGCTCTAGCTTCTGTCTACTCAATTTTCAGAACTCATTTATGATTTTTTTCCCCAAGTGCCTGAAATTGTTTTTGAAATATCTGTATTAAATAAATTGATAAACTGAATCTGAATTGTATTTTTGTGTTAGCATGCACACATTTCAGGGTGCACAACATAGTTTGGTCTGAGAGCAAAATACAGACCTCAAGGAATTCACTAAAAGATCATGTTGCGTGGCGTTTGCCTGATACTTCGTCCATCTTACATGTTATTGGCCAAACACTTCTGAGCAGTTTGGGTTTGGGTCTAGACCATAACTTCAGCGCCTTTCCCACAGAGGGCAACACAAAAATCTCCTTTCATACAGACGATATAAATCACAAGGTAATAAAAACCATCTCAAGGGATTAAGATAATAAATGACAATAATGCAGTAAAAAGAGTTTAAATCCTTCAGTTGTATTCACAGGCAAAAAGAACAGTCTATAACGTGGATCTATTCACTCTGAAATATATGGATCAATTCGACAAAAAGCAGAGGCATTTCAACTCAAATAACGTATGAAGGCAGAGCGCCAGAACAAATGCGTTTTGAAAGGTGAATATTTTTGCTTTGCTGCGTACAATACAAGTTATAATATGGCAAAGGTTTTTTCGTGTGTGACAATAGTGACCCGGAAGCCGAGAATGAAAGGAGCAAGAAACACTGACTGGACCAGGAAGTACGGCAAGCGTCCGACGTGAAATGCAGAAGTGTTTTATAGCATCAATCAACACCTTTTTTTTTTGTAGAGCGCCTTTCCTACACAAGGCAACACAACGCGCCTCACAACCCACATCACATCAGGCATAAATTGTAGACATTCAAATCCACATAAACATTAACAATAAAATTAGAATCCCAAAGGGCTTTAAAAACACACAATGAGATCACAAGAAAAAAAATAAAAAATAGAATCACACAAGTAAATAAAAACATTAAAACATTAAAATCACACATGGGATTAAAATAATAAATAGCCATAGTGTGCCTGATCAGCCTTGATCCTCGGCTAAACCCAACGTTGTCACACATGGTACGAAACACCAAGATTATAGTGCATCCCTCTAATGGTGCTTTCAGACCAGATCATGCGTTGCGTCGGCTTTCAATGCAAAGTCTCTGGTGACGCGCGTTCGAGCGTCAAAACGCACCGACCTCTCGGCACGCACAAACGGATTGTTCAGTAGAGACGCACGGACTTGGCGGGAAAGTCAAAGGGGAGGAGCAAGAGCGAAAAATCAACGCCCACAGGAGATAGATTCAGCTCATCCTTTCCTTAGGACGTTCATGCGACAACCAATCAGAGAGCCGCAAAGTGGTCAAAAGTGGACCCACACCAGGCTTCACCAGAACTCAAACCAGGGTTGACAATGGGGGACTCTGTGCTTGTAAAAATATGCGTTGTCATGCTCCCGTGACCTTATGCAACTGCTTCGAGTGTGTTCGCCGATGCGGAAATACCGTTGAATAATTTGAAAAACGTATGGCGCACCTCCGTGAACACATACTACTGTTATATAAAGCCTGTGGAATGTCTGTGAGCAAAGACATGCTGCAAAGCTGCATATTGGAGAAGATCTGCACACAAGAAGCCGCTAGCATAGCTCTGTTAGCAGCATAGCCTGCCGGCTACTTCCGGCACTTCCGGCTCGCGTCA